AATTCACAGGCAATGCTGAGGTTACTTTTCTGTTACATTGCAGTACAACAGTCATTATTTTAGATACTTTCCACGTTAGATATTTCACATTTGGGCAGCTATAGAAAATTTTATTGTGTTTCCCTTTTGAAGTAAGAAAAAATAAATAAATAAAAAAGAAAGGCTATATCTCTTAGAATCACAAATCGATCGAGTAAATTTTGATGTTTCTGTCAAGTCCTGTCATCAAAATCAATTTTTGTATCAAAATCCCATTCATGATTACATTTAAGGACAATACTGAGCACCCCTGCTATCTTTTGAGATGGTAAGTAAAACACAGTTTAGTTGAGTATCTCTATTTAATTATCGAGCATTTTAACCTGCAGTTTATAAACACTACTGTTGGGATCCTCAGGCTTGCCCACCAGAGGGCGCCGAGGATCCTCTTCTGTTTTTATGTTTTCTGTTAGGACTGGAGTTACTGTTGGGATCTGGAGCTTTACCACCTTCCTCCAGCAGAGTGCGCCGTGGGTCTCCTGGAGCTGGAGTCTTCCAGCACACCTGAGACGCATCTACTCATCAAGAGACCTTCCCTTTATAACCAGCTGCCAGACCTTGCTTCGACGCCGCAGTGTTGATCTTAGTTTGGAAACCTGGCGCTAGCCTGAAGCTCTGGGTGAGCTGCCTCACAGGAAACCTGTCTCTAGCCTGAAGCTCTGGGTGAGCTTAACCTGCCAATCAGCCCTGGTGAGCCAACCTGAAGATTCCTATGTGGAATTAACCTGAAGATTCCTATATGGATATCCCCTGCTGCTCTCTGTGAAGAGCTGGAAACTCAGATCAAGGTCTGCCATGCTAAGTCAGAAGCTAGACGCTGCTGCTCCTCGTGTACTCTGCTGAACCAGCAGTCTCTGGACCCAACTGTTCCCTCTCTCTCAAAGAGAAGCCCGGACCCAGTCAAGACTTCAGTGAACCAGCCTGGACCAGTTCCAGAATCTGTACATTATCTTGTGTTTCAGAACTTTAAATAAACTCTGTTAAACTTTTACCCAGCCTCCGTTGTGTTCTGCATATGGGCTTGTATCCTTAACCCATCATGACAATTACTTAGAAGTTTCATTTTTTATTACTAAATAACTATGTCGTAACATCACTTCCTTAAAATAAAGATTCATGTCCAAAACATATGTTAATAATTGCAATCATGAGTGAAAAGTAATATACTAAATAAAAATAAGGAAAAGTATTATTGTTATTTTATTTGTATATTTGTTTTTACTTATTTTATGGAATTTAATAAAAACACAATTTGTGGTGACAAAATAATTAGAAAGAACCCATGCGTACCAATTGTAATGCATAAAGCTTTAATTTAACATATCACACAAGGTGCATAATATGGCGAAGTGTATGAGAAGAATTTGAAATGAACCATTCCATTTTGCGAAAAATACTTTAAAGCAGAGCTAATTCAGAAAAAGATTTACCCTTTAAGATCACCCTTTCAGCAGACCAAAGATGCTTAAAGAAGTTTGAAGATGAAAGCGCAGCAGCTACTATACCTCCTGGAGCAACTCACGAAGTACAATCTCCAACGAGAACTGACAGTCATCTTCTACAAGGCCTTTGTTCAGTCTGTCCTGTTTCATCCATTCCAGTGTGGTTTGGCACAACGTCAAACAAGAACGGGTCAAATCTGATTTAAACAAGTAGGTCTACAGAGAAGGATGTTGAGACTGACTCTCCCTATAAGAGTTTGACAGGTTTAGGGTCAAGAAAAGAGCAGTTATCAGCCTATAATATGGCCATAATATGGATAGAAATACAAACATGTATGTGTATGTGTGTTTGTTGGGGGGTCTAGTTGGGCAAAATAATAAAAAAAAAATCTAAAGCACTGGTAATAAGGGCTTTTGAATTCAAAAAAGTTGCTAAGGCCAAACACTTAAAAAGAAAAATAACATTTCAGGAGGTCCAGAGTGAAAGAGCAGGTACTCTAGCACCCCCTGATGTTTATCTGTGATTGTTCATGGGTGCACAAATACATCAGGTAATATACTGTATATACGGCATATTCATGCACTCCCATTTCATTCACTCTGTTTCAAACACTATGATGAAAAAAAGAATCAGAAGCAGTTTTTATCATTTTTGTATATGATTTGACCTGAAGGCTTTTTTTTTAGAAGAAGAGGTTGAAAGACTTTTTTTAAAGATTACAATTAATCCACTTGCTACTGATTGAGTTTTTTTGTTGTTTTTTTTTTTTTTTTACCTAGCATGACCCGGATGCCTAATCTACACCAGTAATATAATTTTTTCTTTAAAAAATTAAAACAAAACACATATACTGTGTTGTATTGTGCATGATGTATTTGCACTGTATATGTAACTGAAGTCATATTTCCTTAACTATGTGCACAATCACAGGCCAATAAAGCTGATTCTGAATCTCAGGGAAACCTGAAGATCACAAGAATTACAAAGGTCTTGCACTACCAGGCTTCTCATAAGAAAGATGAACATTTATTCAAGGTTTCCAAGGAGAAAATCTCTGCTTTGGGGAAAACCAGGGAGGACTAATGTTTGTCACAAACAACCCAGAAAAAGACCTAGACTTCTGGGATCATGTTATTTGGACAGATACATTTAAATTAAAGCTGTGGAAAAAGAGACACCAAATCATCCAAATAAAGTATTCCAGAAAGACCGTGGTGGTTATACAGCAAATCTACCAGGGGGGCTGAGGTGGGGCCAGTGCTTTTTTTTTCATGGGGGCACTATGCACAAGAATAAAACAGACAGCAAATACGGCTAAATAGTTCATTCTTTGATATATCAATCGAACCAAAGAGCCATTTGCTGCTCTAAAAGATTAAGTTAAAGTGCAAAAACTTAATTTTTAAATCATGAATAAAACAACACTGTAAATATGTTTTAAAAATTAATTGGTTTAAGGGACCTGTCGGTTGCAGTTTCTGTTCCAGCTCCTATCTTAATTAATTAATCATCAATTTATTATGGGGCCATAACATGGGCCAGGACCAGTTCCACAGGGTCACAGCTGGACCCTGTCTAGAACCACCAATGCAGAGGAATAATTCATAACAAATGTGAAGCATCTGAAAGCCATTTGCTGCTCTAAAAGCTGAAGCTAAAGTGCAAAAAATTAATTTTTAAATCATGAATAAAACAACAATGTAAATATATATAAAAAAATGAATTGGTTTAAGGGACCTATCAGTTGCAGTTTCTGTTCCAGCTCCTATCTTAATTAATTTATCATCAATTTATTATAGAGCCATAAAATGGGCCAGGACCAGTTCCACAGGGTCACTGCTGGACCCTGTCTAGAACCACCAATGCAGAGGAATAATTCATAACAAATGTGGAGCATCTTAAAGTGTAATGGTTTGATGCTTTAAAAAAAAATCCACAATCATTTACAATGTTTATCAGAGCGGGATTAGGAAAAATGTAAGATTATCAGCCAAAAAAAGAGAAAATGGTTTAATCAGAGTTGGACCCATAAGTATGAAAAATATCCAAAACATACCTACAAAAAACCCCACCAAAGATGCAGAGAATCAGGTAATGAAAGCACTGGGTTGAGTCAAAGCCTGTCTTTATTTTACTGAGGTGCTGTGGGTTGCCTTTAAACAGGCTGTCTATGGTTATATAATGTCAAATACTTAAATCAGATGACCCCAAAGATTAATATGAATGTATAAGAGAGATTTTGCGCAACTTGATATCAATGAAAAAAAATAAATAAATTGTTTATTGTTTCAAAAGTATGTTATAATAAAAAAGAAAAGTACCTTGAGAGTTTCTGCATGTGTGCTTGCCATTTTTTTCGAATACACATAACGCCTATGCACACTGTGTGGTTATGTGTGTATTAAGTTCACGTTAGTTCACTTTGAAATCATACTTATCTGAGTTGAATAAAGGTGTGTCTCAACGTGATGGTGCCACTGTGCATAAAGAGCAGGAACATGTTCTCTCCCTTAGTAAGCACATGAGATTAAATTTAAATGATTACAGAGAAAACAAGCAAAAAAAAAAAAAAAAAAAAATATCTGTTAAACCTTTGTTAGAAATGACTGATCACCAAGCTTGATATGGTGTTGAAAACATAGTCAGTACTGCAGGACTTTAAATTTTTGGCCTTTGGACACTATGACGACTGACAAATATAGGCAAATTGCTTTATTTTGTTGACTTAATGGATATATTAATGGAGCAATTTATGCTTTAGGAGAGATGGACTCAAATATATAAATAATATCTATAATATTAAATGTTTATAATTTTTGTTGAAAAAATAATAGCTTAAGTTTAGAATATATCACTATGCAGTAAAATTAGACCTAATGTGAGCTAAGTTGTGAACTACCAAGTGGTAAATGTTCATATTTTCCTCAAATACTAAATGTGTTTTTATACAACAATCAATATTGCTTTCGTAACATTCACAAGCCCTTTTGTAGGCCATTATAATACACATATTACCAACTTTAACAGTCCAGGAGCACATGTGAAACTTGTGGAGGGTGAATAATATTTTCCTGCTTGCATTGCTGTATGTACAATTCAGTATCATCGGACTCTGTAATTATTAGAAGGATTTTCCATCCGTGAGATCACGGTATGACTTCATACAACTTTTTCTTTGATAAAATCAAGCGTTTCTTTACTGTTAAAACATATATATGGATATCCTTTGCTAGTTTAACCAATGAAATGCTGAAATAAGACAAAAAAGGGGTAAGCCTTAAAAAAATCATGTATTGAGGCCTATCAGTGAAATAATTATGAAAAATAACATATTTGTGATTAAATCATTTCAAACAAAGATAATTAAACTAAATATAAACACTATATCATTTTTTTTCAAAGCATGTGATTAGATTTTATATATTCAGTTTACGTTTTTCCAACAGCACGTGAAGGCATCATGCTGACGCTCCCGGTCAGGTAAGAAAACTTTCCCAGCTTAATTTTTACCTGTGTGCTCGCACAGGTAGGCTAGTCATACCGAGGACGCAGTCTGGGAATTGTTGGGGAGGATTTTCTTCTCTTTTCTTTGTTTTATTATTATTATTTTTATTTATTTTTTTCCTTAGGGGTGTGTGTGGTCTACCGCAGCCATGGCTGAATCCCAGCTTATGGTCATGGAGGACGGGCACATCGGAGCCAAAGTACCGGAGAACAAACCGGAGTTTTACTACAGCGAGGAGCAGCGTTGTGCCATAGAGGAACTGCTGAAGAACGGGGACGGGGCTTTTAAGACGCGTCTTAAGGAAGACAAAGCCAAAGACTTTTTGTCTGCGAGGGAAGTCAAAGTTCTGCAAAGCACTTTCAAACAGTATGACTCTGACAGCAGCAACAGCAAGACGGCTGCCTCCAGGTCGGAGCAGGGAGCCTCTGGTGGAACCGACGCGGACTCTGGGGTTCATTCCACTTATTGGCCGCAGATGTCGGACACTGAGGTTCCGTCGCTGGACATCGGCTGGCCCAGCGGGGGGCTGTTCAAAGGGGTGACCCGGGTGGCCGTTCACACACACCCGCCCAAAGACAACGGGCCTCACATCAAGGAGGTGGTTAGAAGACTCATACAGGAGGCCAGCAAGGTGAGGAGAGTCAGAGGCTTAAAGTAAAAAAAGGGATTGGTCACATTACTATACTTAATCTGTGCCAAGCAGATAAGTTGCTTTACATGATGATAAAATTAGTGGTAAGTTTGACCATGCTTATCCAGGAAAATCTCAAAACACATTTATTCCAAACAGATGTCCAATGATTTAATTCACATGTGGACCAACTGGGCCAATAGTAGTTTTGGTGCCATAGATTTTTATATAATAAATCCTGCACCATTTCTAGGAATCTTTTCACTGCCACAAAATCACAATATCCCAAAATTCAGTGTATTTCTTCTATGTTTAAGAGATACCGGTATTCCAGCAGCTACTTTTAAACAAATAGGGGGCGATAGGACGTGGATCTAAACATGCATAATGATTGGTTTCCAGAAATTATTTATAAGGGGGCCAGACAATAACCAATGTATAATGAGGGGTGGCCGAATACGGATAGGCACCAGAACCTTAGGGTCAATCTACACTGTTCCAACATGAATGAGCAAAACATCCATATTTTCTAAATAAAGACTAACTATACTTTTCTACAGCCTTTGCTACCAAATAGATTCATATATATAAACATTCGTAATTTCTAGATGAAAGGTATATTGAATAAAACTCAGTTTTGAGTTCTGGGGCGTAAATCTTTTCCATCGTCTTTACTGACCTACTTGTTTCAATGAACATTCTACATAAAGTTAATATTTACAAGCACTAATATCTACATTAATTGATTTTTTTGCTAAGTTTGTATTAAAATAATTTATCTTTGATTTCACTAAAGACTCCAAGATGACTTGCAGAGACACATATTTTTCTCTTTACCCCATATAACACTAAATCTAGTTCTGAAAAGAAGATGAATTCTGTATTTATCATCTTTGATGTTAGTATATTGATGTGTGTAATTCAACACACACAAAAAAATGTTTTGAATATTCCATTAGAGAGTATTACTGCTGTCATCATCTGTATTAGATGGGGGAAAAAAAGGTAGGGGTGGCCACAGGGGTGGCCAATGATTGGCTAAGGGTGGCCATGGCCACCCCAGGAACCCCATCTAGCTCCGCCCCGATTACTTTGAAATAGTTTTTTTTTTTTATCAAGATATGTATTAATATAGTACTCCTGTCACTTTCTCTTATCCTGATTTTAAAAATAAAATCCAAAGAGAATGCTGAGTGAATGCTAAAAAAAAAAATCCAACTTTAAATCAGAAAATCCATTATTTTAGAGTTATAGTGGTAACAGAAATGTCAGATGGAAAATGTACTTTCATTACAACATGCATGGTAAATTTCCTTTGCAAATGGCTTACATTCATGAGTTGGAGTCCTGTCCAGTAAGTATAAACATTAATTGAGGGGTTGGTTTGTGATTATTCCATGGTAACTTGTAACATTGGACTTGAATGAGGCTGCAATGTTTACTCATTCAGCGCTGGGCCGAAGCTTAGTCATCTGTTCCTCTTGCTCATGACAAATCACTTTGGCTCAGCTTACCTATTTAAAAGTGGGTCAAAAGTACAGGAGCATGTATAAAACCCTCTTGATATTGTTTTGGATTTATTATTTTATTACTAAGCTTATCTCAACCTTTTCAAGGAAAGACATGTTCCTTTCTATAACAGATGAGAGTCATATGAAATTTCAAAGTGCTTTACATGGTGGAAATATAAGAAAAAAAGACGCAGGAAAAAATAGCATAATGACGGCATGTATAGATACAGTAGGCTTGACTTACAATGATGTTTCAGTTATACATTTAAATTGAACATTCAAAGAGAATGTTAAGCAAATGAGTTCTTGACATTTATTCAAACGATCACATGGTTTGGTTTTAGCTTTTTTGCATCTTTCTGGAAAGTTCATCCAGATCAGTACTGCACAAAAACTGAACGCTTGTCTCTAGGTTTGGTTCTAGGGCTGTAAAGCAGGCTTAAATTAGAAGATAGTCTGGAGGACAACAAATCTTAAATGTATTTTTTGAGGTAAGCTATTAAGCGAGTCCCCAGCAAGTCCCCTTATACAGGGAGACATTGTAAGGACCTTAGAACTCTGTTGTTTTGCTCTACCCCTTTCTTTTTTTAAATAATGAGGACACAGCAACGGTGTTCTGTAGCTTTGGATCATCTGTAGTAGTTTCTTTTTTGGCAGATCTGTGAAGACCCTGTTACAGTTTTAACATCTTCTTGGAACATTATTCTTTTAATCCTGGAAATGTTCTTTAGGTAAAAGAAGGCCACAATTACAGTAGCAGCCATTCAAAATGGCCCTTCCCAGTGAAATGCAAGCTGAATGGCAGCAATTCCAGCTACTGGAGTGACCCCCTCCTTCTCCTTGACGTGCATATTTTTTTACTCTGACTCCACCCTTTCACGGAATTACTGGGTCTGACCAGAAGAAGGTGTTTCTCTTTAGATATTAATGTCCACAAATATAACATAAAGAATATTTTAGTACAAAGATTGATGTTTAAAAAAATTAATCTTAGAGGACCAGCCAATCACCCATCAAGGAAAGTGGGGGGATTTTGAATGGCTACTACTGTATCTTTATGTACCTTTGGTTGGGGTTTAAAACCATCATTGTAGCCATATAATTTTAGCCGGATCTGTAGTTTATAGCAGTAGAAACTAAAGCTGTCTAACTCGTGATCACTAATCCTTTGGACCAAAAATAATTTTGCAATAATAATAATAATAATTTTATACGAATAAACCCAAATTTTAGGTGGTTTATAATAATCTCGTGACATTGAAGTAGATATGTGCATATTCTTGTATCTCTGTTGCTTATGATATTGTTTGTTACAATCAGATCTACGGTAGGGGCTATGGCATCAGTTTTCTACCTGAAGTCCACACACAATAAATACTCCTATGAGCAGCTTTACTTCATACAGATGCTCATAAATATGTTTAATATGTTACATGTAGAAATGGAGTACTACGGGGCTCCAATATATCACACTGGAGCTCTTGTTCCTTCTCTGCGCATGCGTGGTTTGATTTCGATACGTGTGAAGCCTCCCTGGTCCTCACGTGTGGAACTAATTCTGTGCGCTCGTGTTCACTACTTTCACCTTGAAGGCGTTTCCCACCGGATAAAGCAACCCATCTGTAATTGGCCTCTTTTCAGGAAATCCCACCTCTTGAGGCTGTACTCTTCTTCTTACTAGCAAAGCAACTTCAGGCTATACACTTCTCTTCCATAATTGGAAGATAAGCAAAGGCATCATTAGATATAACAATGTCTGGATGAATACTGGATTCTGACTGGCTGCAGGGTGTCCTTTGTACAGGGTTATACAAGCTCTATAGAAAAAAATCCAGGTCAAATATTCTGATAGTTTCTGCTATCTCAAAGATTAGCTGGAAACGGGAAGACAGTTTACGCTGGTTACCTTGGCGATGCCTCACAACTCAAAATGCAGGATTGCCTGAAAGGTAGCCAGTCCCAGAGGGGTTCCTTTTTTTCTCTGGGTAACTCCTTCAAAGTGACAAAAACTAACATGAGTGCACAGAAACAGGTCCACACACTAGAAGTAGGGAGGCTGCACATGCAGGGATTTAAAACCAAACGCGTGCAGAGGAGGAGATATATTGGGGCCATTGAGACTTTATTTGCACATGTAACATGTGTGAGGAGTAGTTTATGAGAGTCTGTATGAAGTAAGCTGCTATTAGGAATATTTATTGGGTGTGTGGACTTTTGGCAGAATACTGACACCATTTTGGGGAGGATGTAGTTATTGAATAGGAAGGGACCCAATTTTCAACCTTTGGAAAAGCTGCATAGGATTTTTGGCATCTTAAATGTAGAGTTCCAGATTAATACAAGCATTAACTTGAAATGAATATCAAAGCAGTATAGTGCTATACTGGAAGGACTGACCCAGTTAAGCTCTTTGCTTCAGTGATGTCCCTTGATGACCAGTGTTGAAAGTTTGACTGAGATCCAGTAATACCGGCACTGTGGTCACAGGTCACATTTCTTACTGTTGTTATGTCTGATGAGGGCAATCTCTGTACAGTGGTGAGCATGGAAACCTGACTGGAAGACATCAAAGATGCTGGTCACTGTTAAGATATTTAACTGTTGAAACAAAGCTTCTTTTTTATTTTTATTTTTGTAATTATGTTACTGATGAACAAGATGTTTGAGATGGACCTGCAGTTCTACTGTAGCAGCTTTTCTAAATCTCACTGCTGCACTTTATGAAATGGAAATGCTCATTCCACCGCTAAGCTGCTGCTTATTTCCTGTCTGAAAGCTGTGCAAAATGAAATTTCAATGAGTTGTGTAAGTCTAAATTGTTATTTTCCATAAGCTGTTTGATAACTGCTGTGTATAGGTCCTGGGAAAAAAACACCTGACAAAAGGAAGGCATTTATTCATTGAGGAAAATCTATTATTTTAGACATGGGTAAAACATCAAGACAGCAGGAGAAGGAGCTGCTTAGATGGTGCATCATTTCTGTTAAGCTTTGTTAATTGGTAGAATTTTCTCACTTGGTCTAAATTCTGTTCTAAATGGACACAATAATATTGACGTTGATGTTTCGGATTACCCTTCTTTCCTTCGAATTAGTTTTTTCCTTTTGTTCTTGAACACTCCTGAATTCCCCCATCATTTTTGTCCTGCCCTGCCCTTTGTTTTATGTCATTGTCTTTGACAGGTTGCTTTCCCTTTAATCGTCTTTGTGGTTTTTACTTGCTTGCTTACGTTCCTTTAATGACTTGTTTTCTAACTTCCTTGTTCCAAATTGAATGAACTAAGCTTTTAGACAACCAGGTTTTATATTTATACAAACAGCGATTTGCAATAAGATCATCAAGTTCTGATTTTTTTTTCTTCACACATTTGCATGTCTTCAAGTTATAACCTTAGATAAGAAAGTAATTGCTAAGATTTTATTGGACACAAGTGATAATGGACTTTGTATTGATGTACAGACTATCCTTCAGCCTATCTTGATTTATTTTTCAACACTCTTCATGTTGCACATTTTGCTTTTTTTCCTAAGTGTTTTCATTGTTACTTGCTTGCTGACATTCCTTCAGTAACTTCCTGGTAACAAGTCAAAATATCTAAGTAGTTAGACAACCCTTGCTATATATAGAGATGTTGATTTTCCCTTGCCTACAAATGTTTCTTTCTTCAAGGTATTACCTTTTAATCTAATTGTTTTTGATTCCGAGCTGTATGCTATTCCCTTATTTTTTGTTATTTTTTTAACAATAGAAGGATTAGGTATTCTCGATTTCAGTAACATCACAAAGTGTTTTCTAGAAGCATTAAACAGAAAGTGGAACTTAATCAGCAGCACACATTCGCAGAATATGTTGAATTACAGGAAAAGCATAAACTATTAAAATTATTATTTGTTTATATTATTAGATAGGTTTAACTTTGGTTGAATATGATAAAATCAGCTGTCTGCATGCCCTAACTTGCTGCTTCAGTAATTACACTAAGGAGCCTGCTCAGCATTTTCTTTTGAGCGGAAAAAGTAAGCTTTGTCACCTAAAGAGAGAAACATTCATTGGAATTCAGCTAAATCTTTTCCCTGACTTTTCTTAAGAAGTCAAAACAATACACACATCCCACTTTTTTGCATGCTTGCAATGGGCATGTTGGAACATGTTTCAAAGCTCTATTTGATTTGTAGTTTTCTTTAAAGGGCTTGGTTTTTGCTTGACATTTAGTGTTCTCGGGTTACGTCTCGTGATTGTACCAAATAGCAGGGAATCCTTTGGAAAAGTTTCACTCACCCTTTGTCACACAGATCAGGCAATTCATAGGTTTCAGTGGTTAGATGGGGTGGCGCCAGACTGCTTTTTATTTCGAAGGCATCACAATGTTTTGCCTTTTTAATTAGGACATAGGAAAACTTAAAAACTAATAGAAGACAAGAAAAGAAAACAGAAAACCTATATTGTTGGTAAACATATGTGTCTAAATAATTATGTGATCAGTGTAGCTGCAACTTTTGAATGAGCTATAAGTTAGTTCAGAGAAATCTGACTGATTCTGTATGAGATTGGGGAATTTTCTTGAGACAAGAGAATCCTAAAATGCACCTATTTTGCAAGTACTGTATTGGAAAGAATGGTTTCAAGAATTTTTAAAGAAAAATAAGTCCTATATTTCATGCATTGCACACAAATATTTCATACAGAAGTGATTCCATTTAGACATAAGTTTACCTTTTCAAAACAATTTCCTTTTGCTATTGTTACATAATGGAGCTGTATAGTTTTGTCACATTAGTGTGTCATAGTTAAGATGTTTTAAAACATTTCATTCAAACCAGGTTTTCATAAACATTTGTGAATGTTAAAAGTGCAAAGCACATTAATTATTCCAGAAATTCAGGTAAAGCATTACTTTTACAATTTTACTTTATATCCTATAGATGTAGCAGAAACAACAAAGTTCAAACGTCCCTTGGACTGGTTTAATATCTAAGCTCAAGACATGAACTGAACTCTCTGTTTGGGACTTGAGTCCATGGAACATTGTTTATTTTATGTTATGATGCATGAAATGAGCTGGTCAGTGTACATAATTGAGTGGCTGTTGTGTATGCTAATGATTAGTTGATAGGGCAATTTTATGAACAGAGTGGGTTCTCTGCAGTGTTTATTGGAAGTAAATGTCAGTAAAGGGAGGTAAATGGAGTTTGTGAGTTCATTAATTCTCAGATTTTTTTTTAAAGTACAGTGAGAGAGCTGCAGATTGCTGTTCTGGCAGTGTGTAAGGGTTAGTTTACATTTCCAACATCTGCAGAATTTTGGTTTAAAATTGACTAAAACAAACCTGTTTATGTGAAATTAAAACAACGACATCCTGAGTGTATCTAAAACTAACCTCCACAGTAAATGACATGGAGTCCTTTAGAAATAAAACAAAAACAACTTACTATTGACACGTTGTTACTTGAGATGTTTCAAAAGAAAAGCATTTCCTGTTTGGATCATGTCAAAACCTGATGTAAAAAGGTTTTAATCAATTTATGAGGCGGCACTGCAGTTTATTTTAGGCAGTCAGGTGGAGCTATGCTGCTTTCCTGCTCTTCATCTCTTTCACACTCATTATAATGTATCAGACATAACCTAACGATTTGGACACTGTTTAAGCTGCAGAACATCCAATGCACTTTGAAGTTTATGCACTACTGCTGCTGCCTGCTCCTGCTGCTGACAGCTTCTGTTGGCCAGGGTCAGAGTTCTTCTTTCCACTTCCTGACAGAGAGAATAAATGTTTAAAGCAGTAAAAAAATTCCAGCAGCATGGCTGTGGAGTGATGAGATCAAAGATCAAGCTTAAACTATTTTGGTTAATAAAGACTTTAAAGGGCCTATATCAACCAAAATAATTTTTTTCTCCTACTGGTGAGCGGTTACGTGAGGCAAAGCAAGATTGTTTCTGCTCAAAGTTGAAATGAAGTAAAAATAGAACTAAAAAAATATAGATTTATGTTTAAATACAAAGCTGAAAAAGTTAGCTCCCAGGAGCAGCATAGCATCGCATTTCCGGTAAAGATCAGCAACGACAACTGATAAAACAGAAAGGATTTAGGAATTTATTTTCTCAGGAAATGCATTATTAACCTTTACTGCATTATAGTTTAGTACGTTTCCTATTTTTAAGGTTGGAAAAAACGTAATTTATGTCTTTTTTCACAAATTAAAATCAAGGGCAACCGGGATGTATATCTGGTTGTGCATCCGCAAATGAGCTGATGGTACAGATTGGGTAGCGACAATAACAACTGTCCCGTACAACTCAAGTTTAAATTTTGAAAATGTGTTTTAATTAATTAATGTTTTTTTTTTTTTTTTTTAGAGGTGGCCACCTCTAGTGGCCTCTAACTGCCAGAAATAGTGTTAAAGGGTGAAAGGAAGTTGGTCAATGTTGACAAATGAATGCTTTACCATGGCAAAGGCAATATTTCATTGTCTATATTGGCTTAAAAAAATAAAACATGTCTAGCTAGAGGACCAACAACCATGCATCTACAAACTCACTTCTAAGGGCAAATAAAAGATACAAGAAAGAGGAATAAGCCACACATATGCAAGGAGAACATGTAAACACCATGCAGACTCCAGGAGTCAAACACAGGACTATTTCAGTTAAAAATAAAACGAGAAAAACTATTGAATTGGTACTTGTTTTCTTCTTTAAGATTTTGTGGGAAATGATATTTATACAAAAAAAGGCATCCCACATAGTTAGTTACAAAAATTTAAGTTCCCAAAAAAAAAAAAACATACTTCAGTGTCAGTCAGTAGAACTTCAGTCTAATTAACCCACTAAAAGAAACTGATCTATTTACTCTCAGCATGTTGAAACAACACAGATTTAAGAATTAAAACCATGATTATGTTTCAAAGCTTTATCTGTGTGTGTTTACTTTTCTGCTAACAGTTTAAACCTCTGTTTCAGTTTTTTTTAGTCTTATCATGGTAGGCCTTAGCCGCAGTGGGTTTTAGGGAGTTTTGTTTAACAAACATTATCACAGTAAATCCTCCTCCCTTTTCCCACCGTGTAGATCTTTTTCTCTCTCTATCCCAACATAAGGTGGAGTTCTAGATGTCGGCTAAAGAAGTGAGCAGAAGTTAAGTTCCAGGGTTTTCCGCTTCATATTACTTCTCTTTTGACAGTGTGTTTGATAGCTTGTTGAGATCTTCTATTGCAGGGCTGTTTTTTTTTTAACAGACACTTGTTTGTCACACTATCTAATTTCACTGTAAGCTTCTAGAAAATGTTGCAGTGAAAATTCAGAGACCCTCTGACTTTTATTTTTATTCTGCAGGTCATTGCCATAGTGATGGACATGCTTACAGATATTCACATCCTGCAGGACCTGATGGATGCAGCTTCCCGTCGGTCTGTGCCTGTTTACATTGTGTTGGATGAGCAAGCTGTTGCTCACTTTCTGGACGTGTGTTCTAGACTTCAGATTGGTGCACAACAACTTCGAGTAAGTCTGCACTTTAATGTGAACATCATTTTAAGGTGATAAAGAAAAGGGTGTAATTGTTTTTTATAGGAGAACACAGTTCTTTTTTTTTACCATACTGCTATGCATTTAGGATGTAGGTCCAGTTTACAGAGATCTAGGGGTCTAGGTTTAAATGTGAGAGTTTGAAAGAAAATAGTAGAAATGAAACAAATAAAATTGAAAAATATAAACAAAAAAGCATTTTTATACCATGCAGGTATTTTTTTAAGTTACTGTTATGTTGCCATCTTATCATGAATGATGCTGTATGTTGTAGTAACTAATGAGCCAAATCTGCAAACCGCATGATATGATTTTAATGTGTGACTATTTCTGAAAGATCTGATTATTGACTGCAATCTTAGAACTATGGTGTAAGGTAACTGTCAATAAAAATATGTGCATTTGTGTCGGAATTTTTAAACGTGAGTAAATAAACATAACTAAACTTAACAATTATGTTTGTTCCCTGTTGCCACTCTCATGTATATGTGACAATAGATGTCTTAAAGAGATCATTAAACATTTTTGCCATTTTATCCTTGAAAATACAATTTTATAAATTATGAATAAAAGTTACAATGTAAAAACTTTGCAAAACTACATGTACAAATTGCATATTTACAAGTAAGTATCATGAATTAACAAAACCTTGTGTTCTTTAACCCTTGATGAAGCACTTAAACTTCATACCAGTTGGTGGCGCTAATGCACCTCAAGGTTTTTCGCCAATGAGAAGAACAAGATCATCAATTAAATGTTATACTGCACATGAGTTACAAAACCAAGCAAAGATATAACTTTCAATTGATATTTCTCTTTCATTAACATTTACTTATTCAGACAAACATGCTTAGATTGTATCGACTGTTTTCTTACCTCGCGTATAACACATTTTTTTATTCTGTGTTGTTGCAGTATATTCGAGTACGAATGCTTCAAGGTGTTGGTTTCAGTTTGTCTTTTGGCAAACTCCCTGGTTCGCTTTGTAGTAAATACATGCTGGTTGATGGAGACAAAGTTGCTTTTGGCTCTTTCAGGTAAGATTGTATGTTTAAATAAGAAGTTCATGCTAAAGAAAGTCAATCTTTTTCAGATTTATTTGAACTTCATCGAAATATCTGTTAAACTAGAAGTGATCAGTAGACATTTTTCCCTTTCCTAAGCTTCTTATAATAAAATTGATCTTGTAAAATATGGACTATTAAGTTGCCACCAGTTGATGTTACCATTTAATCTGATAACACTTAAGTCCAATAGGCAGTGGGGAGAAGGAGGTATTGAGTGGTTTACTGATCATTTTGTAATATTCCTTCTTCATTTGCAATGGGTTACCGTTTCCGTTAATAATCTAAACATCCCATTATGTAAATGTCTATATGTTACTGTGGTGGCAGACATTCGTTTTGATTCATTTGATTTAGTTTAAGCATATTTAAAAGGAGAATTATTCAGTAGGCTATTTTAGGTGTTGTGATAAATCCATTTTTTAAAATGAGACAAAACATAAAACTGGTGTCATGAGTTTATGTCTATTTAAAAGCTATGTTTTTGGGAAAAGTAGAAATGAGTAGGCTTTCATTTCCCAAATAAAGACAGAATTTTTATTTGTTAACTGCATTTAAAAAAATCTTGATTTTTTTTTTTTTTTTGGGCAAAATTAAGGAGTGTCGATCTTTTTTCTTTTCTTTTTTTTTTACTAATGTGATCAATGAATCTTAAACTGTGGTTTAAAGAATCTCTGCTCAGATTAGGAATATTAAATCAAATCTCACCGGTTGATGTTGTTCTGTGAGTCTCCAAAATGGACAAACTATTTTAAAATAGAGGACATTGTTTTTTTTTTCAGTCCCTTTAATGGGCAATTGGATTTCAGCACAACAACACAGCCTGAAAAACTTTTCGATTTCAAAAGACGTCTCAAATAAAGGAACATGGTGTTAGCCAAAGCAGCCTGCTTCTGGTCTGGAAGATATAACAATAGCGCGCACTTCATCATCTGATTACATTATCTGACAAGAGCTTTGTTCAGGGGAAAGAGGTACCCTAAACTGATCTAAGGACTGTGAGGACTTGATAGACAGCTAACAGGAGCTGGTAGGCTGATCTCAGGTGTTGGGCCTCATAAGCTCAATTAAATCAGATTGACCAATACACTTGAAAGCAACCAATAAAACTTTAAATTTCACAGAAAATTCATCATAGCCAGTGAAGGAAGCATAAAACAGGACTGACAGATCCATACCTCTTTGTTTTTGGTTAAATTTCAAAATTCTCTTTCCTTTCAGGCCCCAAAAGGTGTAAAAGTGCTGTAGTTGATTTCTGTAAAAGGAAGGCCTTTAGTATATTCAGAATAAATGTTGTGTTATTTTCCTTCATATTTTTGGATAAAGACTTGGATGAAAAGGAAGATAGATCTACAATGACTATTTCTCTCTTTAATGGTTCCTTTATTTGTATATTTTCAATTAGGATAGAATAATTTTCTTGCATTCTTCTGAAGAAAATGTTTTCTGTTTAATATTTTCACATTTTAGTTTACATTAAGTTCTTAATTTCTATGGTATAGACTGTCTTGAATTTTTTATTATCAGTCCATAGGGGATAATTACAAATGTCAGTGGGTTTCATATAGGGTTTTTTAATCAAGGGTTAAAATAACTGCTTCTATTTTTGATAAATTTCTTTCAACAGAGTTCTGTAGGTTTTGCACCAGGCTGATGTACGGTTTAGCTAATAACATTATTCCTGGAAAATATCTTTCTCATGATGCCCATAAAGACATTTCCATCTGCTAGCGGAAAGGTTGTAAGCGTTAACATGGCGTATATTGTTAAATATTTCAAAACGGGAACAGAAAATAGGGCAATGCTGTTATCATGAGAAATATTCTAAAGATAATGTTTTTTTTTCCTTTTCTTTTGGATTTGCATCCAAAAATCTAACCTTTGAAAAATAAAGTGATAAAGAGAGGAATATTCAATTCAAATTCTTGTTTAACATATTTCATTTTATTTATTTGTTGTATTCTTTTTTTTATGAAATTGGCACATTGTCACTGTAAACATAATGGAGAAAAAGCTGATGGACGTCATTAAAATCAGTTAATTTTCTCTTTGGTCTGTTTCAGTTTCTCTTGGTCTGCATCTCGTATGGACAGAAATATGATCACTGTGATGACAGGGCAGGTGGTTGACTTCTTCGACAGAGATTTTCGTGAGTTATACGCCATATCTGACAAAGTGGACCTCTACAAGGAGTTTCATGTAAGTCCTCCAGCTTCCAAAGTGGCCGCCACGATTCGCTCCAAATCGGAGCCCAAACGTCCTCCGTTACCAGCAACCACATCCCGTTTCCAAGTGAGCCTAGGAGATTCTCAGAATCCAGAGATCCAGGTTCCTGCCCACAAATACTACAACCCCAAATACTCTCTGTTGTTCGGAGGTCCTCCACGTCCTGCAAGATCACTGCAAGACCTTCTACCCAAGGGGGATATTGCAGATATACCTGAGGAGGAGGGAAGGCCCCGATTAGCCAGCAGTGTTAAGATAGACCGAATGCTCTCAGAGGCCCCAACTGAGAGCGCCGAGGAACCAGCCAAAGTAAAGAAGAAATGGTTCAGTTTTAAGTCTAAGAAAAAATTGTCTGCTAAAGAGATCATCAGTCCCCTTCTAGCAGAAAATCACCCAAATGATGAAATAGAAAACAGTTTTGAGGGGGCCCCAGTAACTCCAACTAAAGGGAGTAAGAAGCTTTCTAAACTGGACCAGAAAGCATCATCTCAGCAAACTGTCAACACTGCACATGACAGAGAGAGTAAGTAACAAACTGATTAGTATCTACCAATGTCCCTTTACAAAAACCCATTGTGAATAGATGAGACTATACAATTCAACTTCTATTTAAAATAAAACATGAAGGAACTGATTCCATTCTTACCTTCATTTTACACCTATAGTACACATTTGCATTTAATCTATTCATACTCAAATGTTTCATTTCTGTATGTCCCTTAAACAATTTGTTTAATGGTTTAGTACTGTATTTATGACTACAGTACTGTCATATAATCTGGAGACAAATGGTCATAAAAGTTTCTCAGAAATGATTGAATGCAGTTATGCATTTTAACCTAAATAAAATGAGTGGCACTCTGGATCAACTAATTTGGTTCTGTTCCTTTCCTAGACTGAGTCTGCTAGGTCTGAGATATAATGCAGTCAGACCCTTTATTGCTAGTATCTATCATGACCTAAACCCTGTAAAATATAGACAAATCTTTGGTTAGAAAACAAATATATTATAACATTCTCCTGGCAAGTATTAATTAAACATTTGCATTAAATGCTGTGTTGACACAAAAATGTCTGGCGTATAAGAACCAAAACAGCAAAGGTAGGAGATGGTGAAAAGCACAACGACCAGCAACTTTACAATTAACCAATTAGTGCAAAAGGAAAAATTAAAAAAGATTATAAGATTCTAGCAAAGTTTATTTAGGGAAATTCATTACTTGCCTTGTTTGTGTGAAAATAATTCTCAGTGATTTATGAAACTTTTCTTTTTATAATAATTTTTTTTTCATCTCTCCACAGGTCTAAAGAGTGGAAAAAGTGGGAAGAGTGTAAAGAGTCGTCGTAAAGGACCGTCAGGATGTAAAACATCCTAAACTGAACACGCTGCTGTTTCTGCTAATGTACACTTCAGTGTTCAGTAACAGATTATAAAATGACTGAACTGACACACTGCAATTACCTGCACCGTAAAGCAAGACCAGATTAATGTACAGTCCTTCAGGTATTGATTTACATATGGCAGTTTTATGTCTCGTATAATGTGTAACTAGGTGGTTTACGCTGATCTGTTAGAATCTGTTTTTTTTACGTATACAGTCGAGGAAAGAGTTATTAATTATTCTGTTCTAAGAGTGTATTACCTTAAAAAAAAAAAAAGAAGAAGAAAACAAGGGTGATTTCCATGACTGTATTGTGTTGCCTCTGAGCCATCTTAAAAGGGATTTGGGATTAGAATGTTGAATGTTTAAAGACAATCAGGGATTATTTTTGTGTGTTGCATCTGTTCATCCGAGGGATCGACTACAGAGTAAATAACTAACAGTTGCTCTTTTTATAACCTGTTATAAAATCATGGTTATATTGTTCTGGAGGATATACTTTTTGTCTTTTGATGAGTTGCAAGCAATTGTCTTATGGTTGTATTTTAAAATGCTGCATTTTGAAACCTACTGAGCCATAGAGATTCTTACTATTAAAATGCATACTGTCTAAAGATATTTTTGGGCTTGGTCTAAGTTTGCAATGAAGTTCATTCATTACTCGTATTGCTAACATAGCATTAATAGGAACATTTATTTTCAAATATATATATTCATTACATGTTTTTTTTTTTTTACCAAAAATATATTACTTCCTGGAAAATAACTGCATCACACTAATGCACATATACATTGCCTTACTTTGGTAACTATAGACGACGACTTTAAGAAAATGGCAACAGTATAAATGGTTTTGGATTGTTTTTATGATTGTTAGCTTTTCCTTCTAATGGTTAGATCAGCTGATTACTGGTTTTCTTAGGAAATATTGAAAAGAACATACTGAAACAATAATATATCTTGGAACTGTAGTTAACTTGGTAAAAGCATGCTTGGTCACTTGTTAGTGTTATGGTAACAATCTTGGCAATACAGTAAATGGATGCAGGTTTCCAGCAGCTTTTAGTTGAGGCAATGTGTCCTACTATAGAACTCTACCAAGTCTGTCATCATTGAAGACGGTCTTGACAGGGAAAGATATCAAGATGAGACTTTGCAACCAGTGCCAATACCATACCCGCAATCTTATAGACCAAACTCGATTCTTCAAGATGTCAAGTCCACAGGTTTTGGTTCATCAAAGACTTCATTCAGAACTTGGAAGTTAAAAGCACAAAAGGTATTCATGCTTTTAACCTCAGCCTCACTGAACACCTCTAGGATAAGCTATGGCATGCTGTTTATTTCTATAGTGGCTTGCACAACACATTATCTGCCTTGCAAATAAACTGGTTAAAGAATGGACGCCATTCCACAGCTGAAATGTGACCAGTATAAAAATAGAAGAACCAGACTGTACAAGTTTTGTATGGTCCTTTAAAAGCCCGTTTTCTTTAATGAATAAATTTACATTTTACCTTCCTTTTAATAAACAAACGTAATCAAAAACGAATTCTACCTTCTAAATGCTTAGCATTTATAACACTTCTGCATTCTTCATGTTTGTGTCTGATCTCTCTCTCTCTCTCTCTCTCTCTCTCTCTCTCTCTCTCTCTCTCTCTCTATATATATATATATATAATTATATAATTTTTTTAATTCAATTTTCAGCACCATCTACAGTGAGTGAAGATCGATCTTTAAGAGCCCAGATCAGAAACCATTACTAATTCTCCTGTCCTGTCTTGTTTTCAGTGATATGTGCAGCTTATTTTTCAGGTAATGCAATTTCTCTGTGTAATGTTAATTGTTCAATATCAAAAAGTGACTTTCATGTGAAGAAGTCTGTACCTGTCATGTGAATCCGATAAATGTCATGGTTTGCACATGAGGTATAGTGAAGCTTATAATAGAATTACTTGTCATCAGGTTCATTTGAGTGACAGAACTCTTCTACAATAGTGCCACAAAGGACTGTGTTCTTCCAGTTTTACTTTAGCTTTCTAACTTTCCTACTTACACTTTGAATAAAGCAATAGATAATATCAGCCATAAGACGTAAATCTAGAAATATTTTTTTTAAAGCAACACTGTATTACCTTTTTATTGTTTTTTATCTTGTAAGGATTTTTATAAAGATTTTGATCCAAATGATTTAGTTTTCAGCTTTAATGAAACTTTGCCATCATCCTACCTTTTTTACATAAATTTTTTTTTTTTTATGTTTTAATTTCTCTGTGATTCTCGAGTAATATTTGGGTATTGATGGCATTTCACCTTAGATGATGCATTGCTGTTCATAGGAAAAATATATCACCCTTTCTATGTGGCATAAGAGAAACCTGATTAAAAATATAGCAACCTGATCTGTTGTGTTGATTCATCAGCGTGCAGCGTACAAACTGACCACTACATGGCGCTGGGCTTTTACCTAATGCTAATGTCTCAAACGGGAACCACTGCTCTGATGGGAACTGTCGAGTTGGAGGGTGGGGGCAGGTTGTGGTGAAATACTGAAACAGGAAGTTTGAGGTGCAGCAGGAAGAGATGTTCTCACAATAATGCACTGGCTACATGATCTGACACACCAGCAGGCTTAAGAATATGTTATTTCCTGTGCCACACACATGTTTATCATGCACCACTGCATGCATCTTTTCCTAAGCTGAAAAAACTCTAAAGCCAGAAGATATTCGAGTAGATTTTCAGTTTCTTAAAGCAGCTTGAGAAACAGATTTGCAGAAGTCATACTTAACTGAATAAAGTTATCAAATCTTTCAGAAATACCATTATTTCATTGAAAAAAAAGGAAATATGTCTTACTGTAAGTATTTACTTATCTTCCAGCTTTCAATGCATTCTGTTAACATGAGAGATGTTTAACACACTCTAAACTTAGACTTACAGTAAGTAACTTATGCTCACAGCACATGTTTGTACTCTGTCAAATTAAAATCAAGAGGAAATGTTTGACAGAACTGTATTCACCCACAAGGTTAAAGGTTAAACATTTCAGCTTACATAGAGTCGGTGTACAATGAGGAAGTTTATCTGAATTAGGGAGCATTCAACTGAAAACGCAGCTGTCAAATGGCTATACCTGAACTTGAAAAAAAAGCAGAAGGATTTACTTCTTTTGTGATAGATGGATATTTTTAATTCAACAATGAATTCACCAGAATACCCAAAAATACTGTAGTTACAAAGAAAAAATGTACACCTTATGATCAGTAACACACAGCTATAATATTCAATAAACAGATCTGGTGTATAACAAAAAAAAACCCCAACATAATACCACCTATTGCACAATCTTTAGACATTTTTGTTTTTCGCTTCGATAATAACAAACAGTATAAATTACAGACCAAAAAGACATGATTTCTTAATATTATTTACAGTCTTTACAAGATTTCATTATAAACTGACACATTTGAAAGGAAAGCATCTTTAGCCAACTCTGTCAAACAAAAATAATTTCTTTTTTGAAAGTGTTAAAGCTCTATGATAGCTATAAGAATTCTGAGATAAAAAGAGATAATGACATGTTGGAGTTCTCTTTCTGAGCTATGACAGTTAATTGGATGAACTGAATATCAGAAATGGTTGCTGTTGCCAAGTTAACATCTAGCTTCCTTAACAGAAAATTGATGCATTTTTACATTTTTTTTGTAAGAAAGGATTAATATTGTAAAAATAATTCAGCAGTTTTTGACAAGTCCTGTTGAAATAGTCACTCTAATACTGACTCCTTTGGTTTTATTTTCACCTTTTTACACTGTTTTGACTCAGTCTGTGAAAAGAGATGTTTCCAACGTCAGTTCTGTTTCTTTCATCTTCATGTGCCCCTATGTCCGTGCATGATGAAGTATGTCCAGGCATCTTCAAGAAAGGCTGCCAATAGAATTGGCACCTGTTTTATATCCCTGTGGAAGCTCTGGGCTGCTGCAGTGCTTAGTCCTGAGGAGTTTGGTTGATCACTTTCTTCTTCCTGACTGAGACCAAGTCATAGAAGGGATCCTTGGTGATACTCGCCCTGTTAAGACAGTTGTTATTAGTTTTTTCTTTTTTTTTTTTCTTTTATATACATCTATTATCAATATGAATAAAAAAAAAGTGAAAATGATTTCATGATAGCCCTGTGTGCACATAACCAAAAAGGATTTCCTATGTATGTACCTGGCTTGTTCTTTGGTTTGAAGGAGGAAACTGGAGTACCCAGAAAAGCCCCAAACATGCATAGAAAGCCAGAGTGGGCCATTCAGGTATTGAGAGCAATAGCTCTAGCATCACTTTCAGTTCCATCATTACCGTAGTAGGGCTCCAGAGTAACCAGAGTTTTCACAAGTTGTGCAGAGTTTGGGTTAATGTAGTTAACCTTCCTACTTGGTGCTCTGTAAGGTCGGGTAGCTGGTTAAAAATAGGTGCTCTACTCCTCATTTAGAAATCAATCTAAAACTAATGAGCCTCACCCAAAAGTTAGTTTGTGTAGATCTAAGTTTAGTTTCATTCTAGACATGAGAATAAAGAAATATATTTTATAGTGAACACAGCTGAGATAAAAACAAGCCACCTACATGCATTGGAAATCCTATTGGGGTATTAGCGGGCAAGAATGTCTCTGATGCCGAATTTAATCACATAAAATCAGTTAAAAATTGTATCAAATTAGGGTATTTTTACAAAACGTCATACCAGTCCACCCCGTGTTCTTTCACATAATATATACCTGACCTACTAAATTAATATATGGTATGCTGACTTGGGCTTGTAAAAAAAACCCAAAGAAAACTGCTCCGTAAAACAGGATTTATGTTTCTATGACACCTATTCTACAGCCCCAAGCACTTTGCATTCATGCTCTAAAAATCCTAAGCAGTAGTATCAAGTACTAAATGTTTTCTTCTTTGTTTTTGGTTTTTATGGTAAATGTGAATGGTGTTAACAGTAAGGGGTGTTCTTTAATTCAAGCTGTCCACAGGATTAACGTATCAGAGCAATGTAAAGGTATGTGATGAAAACTCTATGTTTATCTATCCTAGGTTGTCTGATTACATTTTGGTAGACATATCCATTATAATAAGTTGAATTTCCAACCTGATGGCCTCAATCCAGGAGTCTCTCTCTTCAGCGCTGGATGCACAAATGGTGTAGGACTGATGTTTCCCCTCTACCACCCTGCCGTCTGTCTCAGTTTTACATGCTTTGATCTTCTGCCCATGACTGTTGGGGTTGTACAGCTCCAGACAGTACTACATGACATCATATGACCACCATTAGTGTCCATAAAATAAAAAAATCTTGATCTAAGGTTATGTTAATCTACACTTGCTTTAAAGTATAGTTTAGTTCTTTAAGAATAGTTTCTAAAACATTTTGTTTGTGTTTAACAGCTGTGAATCTTACCGGTTTGCGAGCGTATGGCACTTCCCTCACGGAGAGATTTTCTAGTGGAATTATGCCTCTAGGTTCTTTATCCTGAATAAAAGCATAATAACATGTATTACACCAGGCTTTGTATTAGAGGAGGGAAAATAATAGTGATAGATGTAATAGGCATAGTCATTATAGAAAGTAGATGGAAAACTTTACAAACAAATATGTAATTTCAACTCTTTCAACATGTTTATCTAAAGAGATTATGTTTTCGGAACAGTCTGGATTACTGTGAAAGGCTTACTGTTGTATACTCAAAGTAGTAGAGGCAGTTGTCTGTTAGGATAAACCATCGCCTTTTCCATGTTTTAACTCGACCTCCTGAAATACAAAGATGCAGCAGAATTCAACATATTTTCTATACTGTCATAATTGTTATAAGCATCTTAAAGGTATTGAGGACGATCTTTTATTTCTGGGGGGGATCATAAATAATCGGTCCTCCAAACTGTCAATCATTCTAGTGATATGTTTACGTAAGGCCGTCCTACATACTCGTCCCATTAGCTGTCTTTTTCACTTTCAGGCGTAGATGTCACCACACACCACACAGTTACGCCTGAGCTACAGTTTCAGTCATTGAAGGTCACCTTTCTCACAGCGGTTCTTTGAAAATGGCTGAGTGTCGTAAGAGTAAAAGTGTTTAGGAAGTGTATGAGAAGAAAAGAAAGGCCTCAGAAGAGGCAGAAATATCCCGCAGTGCTTTACATGGAGGGCTCTTCTTGCAAAGCATTATGGGATTTGCTGTCACAGCGGCCATCGGCTGTCGCTACCTGACAGCGGCGACTAATAACAAAGATGGCGCCAACGGGGAAGTAATCATCTGTCTGAACGGTAAGTTGACAGAGTTCACTATAAAGTTTACTATAAAGTCCCTGCTCTGTATGGTGATTGAGGGCTTTAGGGGTTAGGGCGGACGTTCAGACACAGTAAGCTTGTATGAGCTATGAGAACAGCAACTTTTACACTGGGCGTGCACGAGGAGAAATGGGCTTGTGCATGCTCTCGCACATGTTTAATAAGCGTTCCCTCTTGGGAGCGGGTACAAGGTTGTGCATGTACATTTTTTAAATTTTTTTTTATTAGAGAATCTTTTAAGAATTTCAAGAAATCCTTCTCTGTACCTTTAAAAATTTAAGGGCTTCAGGCCAGACCCTTCATTTTTCTTCTCGAATAAAGGGCCCCTTATAGTGTGTAATTATGCATTTTGCCCACTTGTCCGAAATGCATGACCTTTTTTTTTTTCCCACACTGGTCTGAGTGAGAATAAATCATACGAAGGACAGATAATCCTCTCCAAAATAGAATTTCTTTCATCAACCATTTAGAAACCAGTAAGGTCAAGAGCTTATACGGCTGCACCTAGACTTAAAGAGTCTGGGGTTCTATTAGGTAACCAGGGATCCATTTTCTAGGCTTTTTTTCTACAACGCTATACTTAGTGGGCTTAGGGAAAAGCAGGACATAATCTGTCCCTCACTTGGTCCGTCAAAACCACAAAAATTACTCTGCTTGCACAAAATAATATTAAATTAGGCCTTTGGCACAAGTCATAATACAACAGAGAGGGGAAATAATGTAGTATCAGGACAGAGGCTGAGAGGACTGACCTGTGAATAATGGTGATAAAGATTATGAACCGTAACAGTTTAATGATTAGCAGAGCTTCTCAAAAAGAGCATAGAGATGAAAAGAAATCACCAACGAAATTATAAGGAGACACGTCACAGATGTGTGTGGGTCAGGAGGAGATGAGACATCACTTCCTCCTCAGCATTATGTGAAAGAGGATGGAAGCCATTTAGATAAGATATTTTGTTAATTTAGAAAACAAGTAGGCATTCCAACTTTCTGTATCCAAAGCAGTTTTTAATTGTACTGATTGTGTCTGTTCTCAGTTTTTACTGGAAACTGACTTGTCCAAAATTCCACAGCTAAAAACAAAACTGCTGAGATTGTTGGCAAACCAAAGCCTTGTGTAACCAGCTATGTAATATTTGCATGCAAATACTCCAAAGTTAAGTTATTCTCTCAATACTTCCCCTTTGCTTCCCTGCAGCCACTGGCTGTGTGGTAAATAGAAAAGGTTTAACGCAGAAACTGAATACTATGGTAAATGAATAGTCTGAAATCTTTGATAGAATAAGGATTTTAGAATGGAGACTTACCCAGTTTAAGAAGCCAGCCTTCTCTGTCAGGGTTGAAAAAAGTGTGTGTCAGGTCATTTCCATCATCCTCCGGGATTTTAAAAGGCTCATTGCGTATGCTCTCGTAGAGTTTCTGGCAGCACAAAGGACACACATTAGAGATCAATAGTGCGATTGGGTGTGTTGACTGGAAAATAAACAGACTGCAATAATCTTTATTTAAAATAAGAGTTTGTCTTCATAATGTACCCCCCCCCCCCAAAAAAACAAAAACGAAACAAAGAAAGTCTTAATCATTACTGCTAATGAGGATAACTGTATTACTAATAACTGTATTATTTACTGCCCATACAAAACTAAGGAGCAAAATTAATCCTGAATATATATATATATATATATATATATATATATATATATATATATATATATATATATATTAGGGATGCACAATATTGGGATTTTGGCC